TAGTACTTCAGAAGTTTTATTCAAAGAAAAGTCAAAGAGCCAGTGAAGCGTCTGGTATTGTTACCACAGAAAGTCTTGACTAATAGTGCATTTTTGAAGAAACGGTTCACCCAAAATTTAAAAATTCTGTCATCATTTAGTTTACCAAACCTCTATGAGTTTATTTCTGTCTTGGAACAGTGAATTTGTATGATTTATTGCTGTATGTCTTTGCTGTAGCTCTCACCAAATATGGTGCCGTTAAATGTTCTTTGTCAGGTTTGATGTCTGTGACATTTGGTCATGAGAGACTTGAGAACCCAGCTGCATGTTGGATCAATAGTTTGAAATGGCACCAAGTACATACAACTTTTGTAGTTCATTGGACATCTTTGGTGGACATGGACATGATGATGGTCAAATAAATGGCTTAAATTTCGGACTGTTCCTCAAAGTTATAATGGCTACTGAAGACTTGGAATGTATTATCATACAGTATGTTTTAACAAAGCTGCTTTACTGCTAATATTAATATTTGAAAATCGTTCGTCACCTATTCAAAAACATGTGGCCCAACTAACATGCAAATATATATGCCACACACCACATGACATTAATACAGAGAATATTTTGTTTTCATTTTAATTTTAGTTTGAGTCATTTTGTTTTGTGCTTTCTTCATTTTTAGTAGTTGGTTTTTATATTTCTATTTAGCTTTTTGAAAATATTCTTAGTACTTCAACTTATTTTATATCAGGTCATGTTTATCCAATATATTAATATTTTCTTTTATTTCAGCATTATTACAATTAACAAAAATGCGTTGCTTAACTTTATACATCTCTGATTTCTAAGAGCTTGGCATATGTGTTTGAAACCAGATTGTTAAGAGTTTCTTTCTTTTTTTCATTGTGAACACTCTCATACATCATTGACTCATGAACCACTTTTACTGGTTTTATTATGGTGTTTGTTTGACATATTCATTCCCTTTGACTATATTGAAAGAAGGGGCCTGAATTTTCTTTAAAAAATAAAAAAAACATGTTTTGTGTTTCACAGTGTTAATTTTGACAGCAAATTTTGATTTACTTTTAGTCATAGTCTTTTGACTAAAATGGCATTTAGTTTTAGTCATATTTTAATCATCTGAATTGCTTTTAGTTTTAGTCGACTAAATATCATAAGATTTTAGTCGACTAAATCTGCAGTATATTTAGTCGGCTAAAATCAAATGGGTTTAATTACAGTGCATTAATTAAACATTTCTCTAAAGTTTCCAAACTCATTATATAGGTTTGATATTAAGGTTTTATCATGATAGACACTGGTTTAGCTGCGGTGACACACAACCTGCCTTTATGTTAAAATTAAATAAAACCACTTCTCATAAAGAACAAGAACATGGTCTTCTTTTTAATGAAATACCAATGGTTATATAAGCTAATTCTGCATTCTTTATAGCAACTTGTTTACCATATTCTTCATTCTTTCATCGTCTCATTTTTATTCGTTGACGAAAATGTCAATAGATTTACGTCATAGTTTTTGTCATTCAAAAAGAGTTTTAGTTCGTTATCCTCTCGTTGTCGTCGGTGAAAAAAATGTCGTTGACGAATAATTTTCGAAATTAACACTGGTGTTTTACTGAAAAAAAGTTGTACAGGTCTGTAAAAACGTGAGGGTAAGCAAATAAAGATGATTAATAATAATAATAATAATAATTGATGAACTATTAAATAATAAATAATGAACTATTTCTTTAAGTGCGCGTGTAAATTTTTGTTGGTAGATGTGAAACCAGTAGAAAGGACAAACAACATCCACACTGCCCATTTGCTGAGTACTGATACCAAAGTAAAGCTCAGCTAATGTTCTTCTAGGACACCCCAAGTACCTTCAGGACAGAGTAAATACAAATAAATAGATAGGAGAGGAAATGGCTTGTAGGCTTGTGGTTTATTTATGACCGGCAGGGCTTCTTCTGCATGCATGGATTCCCAGCTTTCATTAAGTGTCATTACTAGACAAATCTGCTGAGACCTGACATACAGCTCGATTCGAGGCAGCATGTATATGGATGGACTCTTCCAAGAAGAAGGAGCTTGATCCTTTGGATGAGTAGATTCAGCTGTTAGTAAATACAGAACAGTATGACCGTTTGATTTGTTGTGATAAATAACTTATAATAGCCTCAGTCGTTCCATCAGAAAGCGATGGTCGTGTTTATACCACTGTGGAGGAGGGCATATATGGTCGCATTTAATGGTCGCGCTCTTAAGCTTTTTTTTTTCTTTTTTTTTAACTAATGTATAGATTTTAGAAGAGAAATAAAACAGAGATGCTTTTACAAGACATGCTTTCCCCCCAAACCTTGCTATTCATTAGCAATTTCCACTTTCCAGTTGACTTCTTGCGACGTCCCCTGATTGATAGAAAGCCTGCCATATTTATTTGGATATCAGGGAATGAAATATTCATATTGTACGCTTTTCCAAGCAGAAGTTATCTGGGTGCAGCGTAAATGGTACTTGGGATTAGATTTTCACAGCAGATTGCAGTTATTAAAGAGAAAAAAAAAGGAGGGGGTTACAGGGAAGCTGCCATCTTCTGGGGAGGCAATCTATTTCTTTTCACGCAGACTTGGAGCGGCTGCATAGCCTCTTAATGCACTGGAGCAAAAGTGCTTTGGTCCGCAACCTTTCACGCCTTCCTCTCCCTTTTATATGATTGAATACTTAATAACTTTGACTTTGCTTTGAAAGCCTGCGCCATGGGGCCTGTTCGGTTGGCTCGTGGTGAGGCTGGCGTACCTGAGTGTTTGTCTGCTGCTAACTGCCCTTATTACCGGCTGTCTGTCAGCCTCTTGCCCACAGCTCATCCGGCGTCATGTGCATCTTCTGTACGTCATCTCGCACTCTTTATCTTAATATCAGTCTGACTTTTAGGCTGTTTTCACACTTATGATGTGTTTTTTGTCTCTTATGATTGTTGCTTGTCACATTGTACAATGTGACCTTGGTTAAAAGCCTATGTAGACTGTGCGACATAATTTTTTTTTTATGTCAGGCTGTGTAATAGTTTGGTCATAACTGACAGCGTTTACTGGGGATCAGTTGCCTCATATACTCATTGACATGCAAAAATAAAAATGGTACTTTGCATGCTAGAAATGAAAAAAAGCTAAATTTGACGGTACGTTTGCATGACAACAATTGTACTAAAAACAAAAAAGTTTTTCTTTTGCGTTTTTTAAAAGTTTCACATACAGATGACAGCATTGTCTAAAATGATTCCTGTTCACACAGATCCACAAACTGAACTACTGGATACACAACAACAACAGGCCCACATTGACAAGCGTTTGTGTGAAGGTACTTGCAGCTCTGCACTTTGAATTCAGCACCAAATCTTTAAACACATGAAACAGCACTTGCATTAGTAGTTCACTTCCGTTACTTGCGTACGGATTATGTTCCTACTAGTGCTGTCAAATGATTAATCGCGATTAATCGCATCCAAAATAAAAGTTTTCGTTTACATAATATATGTGTGTCTACTGTGTAAATGTATTATGTATATACAGTATAAATACACACACATGCATGTATGCATTTCAGAAAGATATGTTATGTTCATATATTATATATATATTTATATATAATATAAATTATATGAATATGTAAATACATGTAAATATTTTCAAAATATATGCTGTATGTGTGTGTGTATTTATATACACATAATAAATATACACAGTACACACACATATATTATGTAAACCAAAACGTTTATTTTTGGATGCGATTAATCGCGATTAATCGTTTGACAGCGCTAGTTCCTACCCACTGTGAACCACACCTAAGTTCAAATAAATTGCACCCCAGACCATCTTTTGAAGAGAACTCGGTTGCTGTTTATAAGAAAATGAACTGAACTCTGACGTCAAATGGCACCAAAAGCTGTGGTGTGAAATGAAGCGCTATCTATTCCACCATAAGTGCTGTGGTTGTAGGCTCTTTATTCAGGCGCCGACTGTCTCTCTCTCCATTTCTCTCTCTCCCTCCATCCCCTCTTTCCCTGACACGCACAGAGCTCATTAGCACATGGAGTGCTCTCAGCCTTTGCCGAATGTGACCCTGTCTAATTGTGCAGCAGGTTCATTTGCTCGCCCTGCATGATGTAGTGATTGCTTATTTGTTCTCCTCAGGGCTTCTCTCGCACATTAAAATGATTGACTCATTTCATTCAGGATACATTTACAGAGCTTTATTTGATAAGCTCATGCCCAAGGTACCCACATCCATCTTATTCTCATGCTCAAATGTTATAATGTCTACCACTGCGGATTATTATTCATGCAGCTGATTGTTTCCCCGGTTAATTATCTGTGTTTGAATAATTTTGCATGCGCAAGCCTGTTTATCCTTCCGGAATTAAGCAGCGCAAAAGGTCTCGCATTAGCCATGCCGCTGAAGTCAACGATGAGCCCATTGTATATTCTAAGCTGTCTGAGGCAGACAGTGAAGAGTTCGGGGAATACGAGGAACGGTGATTTTCTCCTTAAATAAAGGGTGAAATTTGCATGCAGCCACAGAGACACGGTGCGTAAAAAGAGATACATATTTGGCTAATAAGCTGGATTTGTTTTCCACAGAGAGCATAAGGCTCGACTAAAAACCTTGATGAACTGTTCAAGAATGAGAGTGCTCATTATATTATATGTATATTCGTCGGTAGCCTTTGACCTTTCATCTTCCACGCAACAGTGGTCAGACCTTCAGTGCTCTCAGAAATCAAAAGCAGTGGTAGGAAGAAGCCAAAGCCGGTCAAGAAAGAGAAAGAGAGAGATGCAGTTAGAATAGAGTATTTATCTGCCAATGTCATGCGCGAGAGTGTAATTATGATGGACATGTCTGGAAATAATGGTTGTTTAGTTAATTGGAGGAGCCCATTGAAGCAGTAATGACCTTGTTTATGAGGTGGCTGTAAATAAAATTGCATGTTGTTTATTCTTACAGTGAAGAATGAGGCAGAGGAAGAAGAAAGCACTTCCTGACCACCAGCAGCGCAAGTCTGTGCCAGTCAGTGCCTGATCGACGTGGATGGCTATAGAATTGTTTTCTGCAAACAAACTCACTCTTGGATCCTTTCTTCATCACTGACTCGATGAGTTCTAGAAAAATACGATTATCAAATGATGACTGATAATGACCTTATGACATATAAATGTCCAAAATAGCCAATCGAATCAATTTGCCGACTTCTGTCCGTCAAACTCACTCAATTGTCTGTCTATCTGTCTCCTATTTGGCAAATTCCCAGCATTATGGTAAAAGGGTCTTGTTATGGTGCATGTACTTCAGATACGAGGTATGCTGAGAGGCTAGTGAATGGAGTTTTGTTTGTTCCATTCCTGAAACCAGTCATTAGTCTCGAAAAAGGACTAAACTTCTGAATGATCATCCAAAAGCAAAACATCTCTATGTTTGCACAAAGGAAAGGAATAGTAGAATATAGTGTGATAAATGTTTACAAAAAGGAGAATCATTATGTTCCTGGTTAGTTTGTTGAAGTTGTAAAAAATACTGGTTTACTTTGGATGTTTGTACTTGTAGTAAAAGTGTTGTAGAATGTGCATGCAAAATTTATATTACGATTCTGACGTTTGACCCACAAATTTCATGGTTAAAGGCAGATGCACAGACCCAAAATAATTCATGCATATGATTTTTTTTATCTTTTTGTTGTTAATGCTATTTCCTACTGTTTGAGCTTCAGAAAAGCACATGCACACAAAATCAAACTAAAATTTAGGGAAAAATTTCATGGTTAAAGGCAGGTGCACAGACCCAAAATAATTCATGCATATGATTTTTTTTAATCTTTTTGTTGTTAATGCCATTTCCTACTGTTTGAACATCAGAAAAGCACATGCACACAAAATCAAACTTTAAAATTTTGGGGAAAAAATAAAATACTGTTTAAAATGTTCACATTTTGTGAAAAACAGATGTTTTTAAAATAGTTGTTAAAAACAGTTTTAAAAATCATATGATCTCCTGTTTACTTTTTTTGTAATGTGTAAAAAAAATATTAATGTTAAAGATTTACTGTTTGTACCTGATTTTTTTTTTTTATTTTTTTTTTTTTTGTTGTGTGATTTTTGGTTAATTGTAATGAATTCATTTAAGATCAGTTGACCCAGAACATAACGATTACTTCCAGAATATTAACATAATACAAGGGATAAATAAAGAAACACTAAAGTGCATAAACAAACCTGAACCAGCATGAGAATTCATGTCTAAACTGGACTTTTCATCTGGGTACTCATTGTAAAAATTATTACATCTCATATGTTGATGAAACATGATTTATTTCGGAATAGCTCTGCGCTAAGTATCTGATGCCCCTCATGTTCATTTATATACTGACATCAGCTGCTGATTTATTTTTGTCTTTCAAATCAAATTTGTTGACGTGCGATACTTAATTTTTAATGAACATTCTACTGTGAATTTTGTGCTTAGTTACATTTCTACTTCACAGAGATGAATGAGTGTGTGAATTCTAATGGCAAGTAAAGTTTCAGTGCTGCTTCTGTCATTGTTTGTGGTTTAAAAAAGTTAAAGGTAATGCTTGTATTTGCACATTAATCAATCATGTAATAATACGTTGAAGGCAATGAAAAGATTTCAGTGATGTCGTATCATTCAGCCAGCTACATTAATAACACTTTTAAATTATTTAATAATTTAATGCCTTATTCACTATGTCATCATGCAGTTCCTAAAAACACAAATCAGTCAATAAATGTGATACATGTTTGTATTTCGCAGCTTTTTTTAACTAGTCAGGATTAAATGAACCCATTTCAGTGGATGACTGGAAGACAGCAGCAAGCTATCTATTTTCCTTATGTGTCAAGTGCATGCTTTAATTTTTCTATTTCAGATCAGGATGCTATTTAGAATAAAATCCTCCTGCTTGAGTTGCCCTGATAGTTGTGCTCACATGTGCATGTAGAGAGCGTATCGATGATTGAGGGCTTGTTTGAAGTGTTCTGAGTCAATGAGAGTTGAACCCCAAGTGACAAGCTGTGAAATCAATAGACAACAGTCAATACCCAACACTTAAGGTGCCTGTTGAAAAAAAAAAGGACGCCAATAATTATTAAAACTCCGATTTTCCCAGAGCACTGTTTAAGGCCAATTCTAGTGAAACAGACTTCTCAAACACAATGGTGCCCTGAAGCTACGCAACCATAATCACATGCAAAACAAGGTTGTGATTATGTTGTAAATAATGAGGAAGGACTGTGAACAGCAGTGAACAATAGCGTAAATAATAAGTGGGTCATATTCATTTGTGTAGTGCTGTTGAGCTTCGCACATCTCATTTTCAAGCTCATCTATGGGTGGGTTGTGTTCCAAGAAAGGCAATAAAGCAACTTTATTCATGCCACATTATAGACAAATCATCTGTGATTATTAAAATTAGGTAACAAGCAACAATTTTTTTTAAATAAGGGATGAAGTTACTTTATTAATAATATCCTGATTTAAACACTATGATTTGCCAACAGCAATGTATGTTTTTTATCATTCCGCTTGTAGGTAAACTGTATAAAAAAAGACTACTGGAGTACATTTTACAAGAAAATATGATTTCATTCTTTCTATTTTAACTTTAATTTAGCGTGTTACCATATCTTTGCAATACTTGTGAACTTTACCAGCAAATTTACTTTCGGAGTTAAAATAGTTTCAAGGTAAATCCTACACCATTTTCCCCCAGTGTGTTTGTTCAGACAGATTGTGGATGCATCAAAATGTGTATATTTCCCTGTTTTATAGTGAGTGAAAACGGTAGCCTAAATGAAAGTAGTCCAAATTCACAGTATTTGTAAAATACTAAAAGTTGGTGAAAAGTACCTGCATGACCTCTTTCCACCGAGATTCTTAAGTTCACATCAATGGACACTTTACTAAGCAAAGCTCTGATTCAACACTTTTTAACGATCGTAAGGCAAGTAATTCTTCAAAATATGTACCTACTCAGTATGTCATTTTGGACAGCATGTCAGTAGTGAGGATTTTACATTGCTGCAACAAGTGAGCTCTGAGTGAGTCATTGAATCGTTCACTCCTATTCGACTTGTTCAATAACATTGATTCATTCAAGAACGAGACACAACTTTCTTTGAAACTGTTTTCGCTGGTGGAGTAGACAAAATAGACAAAGTGGCAATATTGTGTCTAAAAAAAAACACATTCACATTTATTGTATAAAACATATGTTTTGTATGGGTATTTTAAATGGGACAGTTTATTGAACATTTCAACAAAATATATTTTAAAATACTACATATAGTGTAGAAAAATATTGAGCTCATACTCAAAGAGGGGAAAAAAATAATTTTTATTCAGAGGCCTAAAAAGAGCACATATATGTCATTTAGGTATGTTATTCATATGGCAAAAAGTTGGGTGAAATTTTGTAAAGATTTCACAGCAAAAGGACACGTGAGCTGAAGTGTGAATGTTTTTAGAATGATACTAAAAGGCCTTTTACTTTTTTAAACATTTATAAACTATCAATTAGATGACAGAAGGCATGTGGAAGATTGGTTACAATAGGTTTTTCAATATTTGATTAAGTTGATCATTTAGATGCCTTTATTAATTCATGCATCAAATATGACAAAGGCCTTATAGTGTTAAAGGGACAGTTCACCCAAAAATGAAAATTTGATGTTTATCTGCTTACCCCCAGGGCATCCAAGATGTAGGTGACTTTGTTTCTTCAGTAGAACACAAACGGAGATTTTTAAGTCAAACCGTTGCAGTCTGTCAGTCATATAATGGAAGTGAATGGGAATCACGGCTTTGAGAGTAAAAAAAAAACATACACAAATTAAACCCTGCGGCTCGTGACGACACACTGATGTCCTAAGACACGAAACGATCGGTTTGTGC